GGCCCAGCCCTCACATCCCCCCAGCCAACGCCGGCTGCCCGGGGGGCGCGGGAGGGACCCCCAGCCCGTGTGCCCCACACTCAGCTGGCAGAGAGAGAGCCAAGGGACAGGGGCAGGGGTGAGGGACAGGCAGGGCCATTGCAGGGCCACGGTGAGGGCACAGCCTGTGGCAGCAGAGCTGCCCAGGGCCGGGGGCAGCCGGGGGTGTTGGGACCAGCCAGTGCTGGGGCCGAGCAGAGCACGAGGCCTCTTGCAGAGCCCTGGAGCAGCCTCCCACTTGCCAGCCCCGCCCTGGTGGGGTGACACTGTCCCCTCCCTACAGGACACTCCCCCCAAAATCTTCGTGGGAGCCTTTTGTGTCTCTTCCTGGTTGCTGATTGATGCTGGGGACCTGAGGGAGCCTCTGCAATCCCATCCATGGGGCACAATCTCCTCTGCAGAGCTTGACTCACTGCAGCCTTTGCAGGGCAATCTGTGCTGGCAGCCCCAGTATGTCCTGACCCCCTGTGCTCCCCCCAGGATATTTGGGATGAGTTCCCCCTTCCAGGGCACCCGCGGGACGGGGGGGTGGTTGTTCTCCTGCTGTTCCTGTTCCTGTTCTGCCCTTGGGGGCTCTTGGGGGTGGGCAGGAGGTGTTTTTTGGGGGTGCTGGGCTGGGTTGGGGGCAGAGCCCCGGCGGTGGGTGGGGGGATGCGGGTCCCCCCCCGTGGTGGGGGTTGGTGTTGCTGGGTCAGGCCCCGCCGGCTCCATTGTCAGCCCGGTGCCGGCGGGGGGGACACAGCGGGTTTGGGGCCCCCCGGGAGTGCCGGGGGTGGGTGTGGAGCCCGGGAGCTGCCGAGTGTGGAGGGTGGAGCGGGGCGATGCCGGAGCTGGGGGACCCCCAGCAGCCTGGAGGGGGGAGCACGGAGAGGGAGGAGCCCCGGGACCCCCGGGAGCCTGAAACGGGGGAGCACAGAGAAGGGGAAGCCTGGACAGTGGGGACCCCTGGGATCCCCGGGACAACAAAGTGCAGAACCTGGAGAGGGGGAATGTCTGGGAACGCGGCACCCTGAAGGTGAGAGTCAAAGGAGAAGGGACCCTTGGGACCCCCAACACTCCCAGCATCCTTAAGGGGGACCCCCAGCATTCCAGACAGGGGAGACCCTCCAAACCCCAGAGGGGAGAAACCAGAGACGGGGAACTCCTGGGAGAGTTTTTTTTGCTACCCTTCGTATTTGGGAGTATTTTTTAGCTGAATCTCAAATATTTGCAGTTTGAGGGGGTGAGGCTCTTCTTTCTATTTCTGAGGGGGTTTTTGCCTGCATCTTGGTGTTTTGGGTTTTTCTGTGCTGAATCTTGGTGTTTTGGAGGTTTTTATGGTCACAGGATGCCCAGTGAGTTCTAGAGATGGACTTGGGCAGGAGGAACCCCCAAGGCAACACGCTCAGCCCTTGTTTTCTCCCCCATCAGGATTTGTCCTTCCCAAAGCTTGGGCGGATGGAGGAGGAGGCTGCGAGGAAGAGGAAGATGCCTTGGGCCCCCCAGGCAGGTGAGGAGGAAGTCAGTGGCCCTTTGTTTTGGTCTTGTGCTGGCTCTGGCAGCCCAGCATGGCCCCGGCTGCAGGACAACCCCGCTGCCGCCGCCGTCCTGCCGGGGCCGGAGTTGGGGGGATGTCCTTGGCCTTCCCTGTGGGCCGGAGGCAAATCCCCTCCCTGTCCTTCTTGCTTCCTGCCCCAGGCCCCGAGCTGAGGACGGAGAGCCCGGAGGACAAATCCCCCCGTGAGACCCTGGTGGGAGAGGCCGTTTTGAAGGGCTCCACGGCGCAGGAAGGCAGCGGGCAGGAAAAGGGCCGGAGATCCCCCCGCAGGAGGGGCTCCAAAGCCAGCCCAGGGTGCTCTGAGGAGGAAAGACCCAGCCTGGGCCGGGAAGGCGGCCGGAGCTTGAGGCAGAGCTCTGAGCTGGTGGAGCCTGAGCAGCCTCCCAGCAGGGAGAAGCCCTTCAGGTGCTTGGAATGTGGGAAGAGCTTCAGCTGGAGCTCCCGTCTGATCCAACACCAGCGCATCCACACTGGGGAACGTCCCTACACATGTTGGGAATGTGGGAAGAGCTTTGGGAACAGCTCCTACCTGATCCGACACCAGCGCACTCACACTGGGGAACGGCCCTACACGTGTAGGGTGTGTGGGAGGAGCTTCTGTGACAGCTCCACCCTTCGCACCCACCAGCACATCCACACTGGGGCACGACCCTTCACATGTGGGGAATGTGGGAAGAGCTTCAGTGAAAGCTCTACCCTCCGTATCCACCAGCGCATCCACACTGGGGAACGGCCCTACACGTGTGGGGAATGTGGGAAGAGCTTCAGCCAGAGCTGCAGCCTTCGCACCCACCAGCGCATCCACACCAAGGAATGGCCCTACAAGTGTTTGGAATGTGGGAAGAGGTTTAGGACCAGCTCGGTTCTCCTCAGGCATGAGCAGACACAGACGGTGGAGAGGCCTTTCTGCTGCACCGACTGTGGAAAGAGCTTCAATAAGAACTCCAACCTCGTCACCCACCAGCGCATCCACACTGGGGCACGACCCTACAAGTGTGGAGAATGTGGGAAGAGTTTCAGGTACAGCTCCACCCTTCGCACCCACCAGCGCATCCACGCTGGGGAACTGCCCTACACGTGTGGGGAATGTGGGAAGAGCTTCAGGCGGAGCTCCCAGCTGAGCCAACACCAGATGATCCACACTGGGGAACGGCCCTGCAAGTGCTTGGAATGTGGGAAGAGGTTTCAGACCAGCTCCAGTCTCCTCAGGCACCAGCGGATTCACACGGATGAGAGGCCCTTCCGCTGCACCGACTGCGGGAAGGGCTTCAACCAGAACTTCAACCTCATCACCCACCGGCGCATCCACACCGGGGAGAGGCCCTACAAGTGTGGGGAGTGTGGGAAGAGCTTCACCCAGAGCTGTAACTTGACCAAACACCAACGGACCCACCAGTAAGAGAAGCCCTACGAATGCCCCGACTGCAGGAAGAGCTTCGGCCGCTGCTTCCACTCCAAATGAAGCCCCTGATGTTGAGGCAACCCCTGGAGTCCAGTGACTGTCAGTCCATCCCTTTGGACCACAAAGGGCCAGTCCCCTTTCCCAGGGGCAGGTTCTGCCAACAGAACCCTTCTGGGAGGGGTGTGTGGAGATTCCTGCCTTGGTTGGGGACCCCCCAAGGTCACTGCTGGAGGTTGAGAGCAGAGATCTCCCCACAAGCGTAGGTTGGGGGAGTTCCATCCATCTCTAATTAAGAATTCTTGCTTTTGGGCCAGCTTGAGTAGAATTGCTTCAACAATTGCTTTAGTGTAGAGCACTGTCCTATCTTGTTTTGTACTCCTGGTAGTTTTAGTGTGTATATTATGCAGTAAATAATTCTGATGAAGATCTTCTGTCTGATCATTTGTAACCCTAAATAAACTGTATCCATAGATCTGATTTGCCATCATTAAAACCTGGGGGACAAAAGTGGTTCAGTCACACCTCTGTAATTCCTCTAAACTGAAAGTGTTGGCATGATCCAAGGCTGAGGTTGGATCCAGCAGCCCACAGGAAGTTGGGAGCTAAGGGTGGCCACCCCCTTGAGCTAACACCCCTGTGCCCAAAGACCCCCATGGGGACCATCCGTCCTGCCAGACCAGCCCCCCTTCTCCTCTCTTCTCCCTGTTCCTCCCCTTTTTTCATTGTCCCCTCAAGCCACAGCCCCCC